AATGAACTAAATCTCTATTATCTAATTTCTCACTGCTATGTTATTTAATTTTTTTATTTTAAATTAATATTTGTAAACAAATTTCTGAACATATTTTAAATATTTGTATAAAAGTCTTCAAAATCTTATCACCATTCTTTCCTATTGCCATCACTGTTCCGCTTCCTCTTCCTTTACAGGTTCCAACAATGAGGAATTATAGAAGTAGTGCAAGAATAAACATCACATTAGCTCTCTTATGTTTCTTCTAATATCTAAATGGTTTGACACTAGCTTACCCAGCTTGTCTCGTTTTAATCTATCAAAATGCAAGATAATAGTTCGTTAGGTCCAAATTTTAATTTTTTTTAAAAATTAAATATTAATTTTTATTAATATAAAAATATTTTTTATTATTTATTGTAACTTTTTTAGTTAATTTTTTATGGGCCCGTTTTATTATTTATTGTAACTTTTTTATTTTTTGACAGACTGGCCGTTAGCCCACTCTTAAATGAGTCAAACTAAAAAAGTTAACCGATTTTTTAAACAAGACATGCTTAAACTAGACCGTTTATAGGCAGGCTTTTGACAAGATGTGCTAGCTCATTTTGTCACCTCTATTTAATAATATATACATAAAAAATATCTATTAATTTTATTTTACAATAACTCTAAATTGCCACCATAAATGTAATTCATTTGCTATGTCAATAAACTATATTTGCTTTTTTTATATTTGTCTTTTGTTTCTTTCTTTTTATTTCAAATGTATCATCAACTATATGTTCACTAACAGAACCTCACAAACTATATGCCTTGACAATTTCATCCATTGCTAACACATCAATATTAACTTTAAGAAGCCTTAACTCATATTCAAAAATTGATTTAGGGTCAGGCTAAAACACATTAACAAGTCTATAATATCTAAGAGTTGATGTGAATTTGGTAAAGCTAAATACATCAATCAAGTCTTCTTCACTATCACCCCAGACATTCATCTTACCTCACTTGTCAGTACTATTCTCCCCTTCTTCAATTACAAACTTTCTGTGTAATGCTCTTGAATTTCTATGTATTGCATAATTACACTAATCGAATAAGGGATATAACAATAATTTAATTATTACAATATTTATTTAAACTATTATTAAAATTAATAATTAATTATTATACATATTGTGTTTAATAAGAGGCCTCCTTCACAGTGTCATCACATAAGATATAAAAGTCAATATACAGAAGACGGACAATAGGGGGGCATTATAGTATATGCTTCAATAAATAAAAATTTCTATGCCAACCATTTTGTTCGAACAAACAATTGAGTACCGCATGTTCTATTACTCTCACCTACACAAACAGAAGGGTTTAAACCCAACACAAACACCAAACCTTCCATTTTTCCAAATGCTTTATTCAACACTCCCGGGAAGAAAAAAAAGCCACCATAGTCAAGTAACTCGATCCCTAACAACTCTAACATAATGCACATATCTCTTTCACTGTATAGTACATGCATTTACAATGTTAGCGTTCCTATCTTAATCCATTTGCATGTCATCATTGATTCAGTATGTCTCATTTGCCTTCAAAGTCGTGTCTTCAATTTTTCTCGTTCACTATATCTCAATTTTCAAAAACGGTATCAATTCTTCCAAAATTATTTTTTCTTCTTTTAAAATATGCTATCCTATATGAATGAATTAGCTTATGTTTCTCTCAACACATTCAACAAAATAAAATATTTTAGTATTGTATTAGTTAATGTTTCTCACACATTGATTAATGTTGTAGACTTAATTAACTGACAAATTAATGATACAATTTTAAAAATATGTTCGACTTTTGTCATTCAGTAGATTAATTTAGGGTTACTTCAACTATAAAATTACTTTTATCCAAGAAAAGGTAATTGAATTTGAAAAAAGACGGTTCTCAAGACTGTGATAATGTTTCTCAAATTAAAAAAACGTTTGAAGTTTTGCTATTTTGCAGTTCTTTTAATATTGTCAATTTAGCATGTGTTTCACGCAGCAAAGCCACAGAGTATCCGTAAATTAAACGGAATTCCTAAAATTATTATTAACTTTTGTTACTGTAAATGTTTAAGATTAATTTTAATTAATTATAAAAAGAAGTATCTTTAGAAAACATATACAATTTTTTATTCTTGAAATAATAATAAGAAAAACTTTTCATTTAAAGGTATTTAAATTTAACTAAAAACTGATGTTAACATGCTATAATATTTATGTTACAATATCATATTAAATTTTTATTAACTGTTTTTAATAAATTATTTTCCTATATAAAAGACAAAGTTATTCTTCGCAGAATGCAACTATTGTACGCTTCACCTGCTTCTGGTCGATTTACAGGTATTTGACATTTTAGCAAACAGTTACATTATTTTTTTATGTCAAATTACTTATTAAATTTATAAAATTATATTACAAATTTTAATATTTTTAACTAATAAAATATTTAGATCATTATCTCTTTCTTTAAACATAGTTTAGCGCAATTAAAGTAATAAATTTAAATTAAAAATTTTCATTAAAATTATATTAAGATGAATAATTAGTCATTTTTATATGGTATTTATATATTTTAAGAAGTTATATTTTTTTTTATTAAATTCAACATTATAAGTGGTATTTTTTTACATTTTTAATATTTTTAAAATTTTAATTCTGAAAATAGATTTGAAAATTGTTTTTTAGTTTTAAAATTATTTTAATTATTTTAATTTTTTTCCTAGAACCCCACAAAATGGAGTCTCAGATGCAGACGATAGGTCTATGCCTCGAGCCAACCCTGTAGTAAAATTAATTTCAAAAGAACTACTAAAAGATAATTTTGACATACTTAATATTAAATAATTACTAAGTTTTTATCAATAATATTTAAAACTAAAAAAAATAATTTCTGTTGAACCATAAAGAATATAAATAAGATTTAAAAGAATTTGAGCCAAACATTCAGAATAAATTTTGCTATAAAATGATATTTAAAACAAATTCTATCAAAAGAAAAAATAAAAAAAACGGTATAATTAATTAAAAATATATCATATTTTAAATACTAACAAAGCATTGTGAATTTTTTTTTTCCACAAACGCAAGAGAAAATCTTAAAGAAATATAATGAATTATCTTAAGAAAGGAAAAGGAAATTCAGTGAATGTTATTAAATAAATTAAAAACTTTACACTTGATCTTATATTAAAACGATTGTTTCACATGAAGCGAAACTTGATGTTGGTTTCTAGTTCTCAATGTTAATTGTTATGGATCCCTTCTGATGGTTTTGAACTTTTGGTTAATGCATCCTGCAGTGTGTTCTTTTTTATGTGCATGTTCAAAGTGGGAATTAGGAATCCCATACTAGACACTGGGTTAAGAAATATGATTTTGTGTTTTTCCTTTTTATAATTGAAATATGAATATTTTGAAAGTTACCTTAATATAATGTTCAACAATGTCAATACCATGCATTAACCTTACAGCCCATAGGGTTTTGGTGTTTTCTGCTGCACTGGCGGCTTATGGATTGTGGTTGTTTTCTCTTATCTCTTCATCTCTAGAGGGATTGCAAAGAAGTCAAATTGCTTCATCAAAACTTCAACGGCTTCTGGAAGAGTATTTGGGTGGTGTAATGCTCATATGCCGCCAATAAATATAAATAAAAACAACTTGTTTTGTTTTTTCACTTCCCATAGGTATTCAAAATTCGTCCATTCATTATTTAATGTTTTTTTTTTTTTTACATTTCATTAATTTTGTTATAAAATGAACAGTTAAGATTTTTTTTTTCTCTGACCGCAAAATATCAATGATACCGTCAAGATGTCCATTAACTGTACCCTTATCCTCACGACTCACAAGCGATCATTTTTTGTATAAATTCATTTTATTTCATTTATATTCGTTCTCTATAAACATTACCTGTAATATTAAGTATTTAAATTTAAGAGTCTCTATTTTAAAGAAATCTTTACTTAATGGCCACTTCTAAGTTCTAATTGGAGAATTAATCACTAAACTATTCAGTCAAACAATAAAAGTCTTTTTCCATAAAAATAATAATAATATTTCATGCTCATCATATAGATACCTCTATATATATATAAATTAATACTTGAAAGATGAGTACAATTATCTTTTGTGCATAAATAACAAAACTAAAAATCAAGCTGAAATGACTTCTTATTTATTAGGTGACTAAATCAACGACAACTTCAGATTATTGAAGCTATAAAATTGATGATATTTTTAATTTAAAGAGTTAATTTAATATTATTCTTTTAAAAAAATGAACTGATGCCATTTATTTTTAAGGGATCGAATTAATCTCATTTTATTTTTCTTCACTATCATGATTATAACCTATTGATATAAAAAGTGCAATAAAGAGGTAGAAGGCAGGTAGTGATTAACCGGGTAAGCCCCGTTTAAGCGTAGCACATAGTAATTGAAAATGCAGATTTCTTTTTCCGATAGCAACATGTTTTATTGAATAAAATTGTTTTGGGTGAGTTATAAAATGTTCAGGATAATTTGGTAAATGCTCGACACTTAAAGGGCTCATTATGAAAAAGTCTTTCTTTTGAGCATTATGAATATAATAATCTTGCTTATTTTCAACTTGGTGACATGTTTCAGTTATCCATTTCATCCACGAGCCTTTTCTAGCATGTTGAATAATCTTCTTTTCCTCTGGTGACGATTTCAATAATTTGTTACATAATTAAAATTACCTTTTATGCAAGTTCAGGAAAACTATTGTACAAAAATAATCTTCATAGTTAATCATGAAAAAAGTATAACAACTAGTCCAATCCTCAAGACACTCGCAGCCTACCACGTTACTAGTTCCTGTTTGGGTGGCTAAAAAGGGCCTGCGTTGCTTTGTCTCTTGCTCGTCAAAGTCAAACACTATATTCATATGTCAATAAATATTTTGATTCTAAATAGAAAGAAAATAATAATAATAATAATAAAAAGAAACCCACCTAACCCAGCAACTTCCTGGTTCCTAAAATCCTCCATTCGGAACATTTTTCTTCTTTATATTCCTTGTTTCCTTTTATCACCCACCATTCCTCAAAGGGGTGAAAAAGCATTAGTTAGAGAACATAGTCATAGATGGAGGGTCTTCTGCCTCTGTTTTACAAAGCAATCAAGAAAAACAAAACACGACGACAATACGAGTGTCTTTCATCAGGAGCTGCTCTAAGCTACAACATCAGCATGGCCGAGATCTACCCTCAAACTCAGGACCATGCCCTTCAGAATCACACACCTCATACCCAGAAAGTGCCACGTCATTATGCAGATCATAAAATGGGTCACCGACGATATAATTCTGTTGGAAATTTCGGGGTTGGTTTCCAATCACCTCAGATGAGAGCAGGTGTTGGTTCTCCCAGTTCAACCAAACTCGTCAGGTTTAGGAGTCAGAGAATGTTTTCATGTATAACCGGTGTCTAAGGTGCGTGTAAACACTCATGTTGTGATTCATTTGGTGTAAAGAGTAAAGACAACGTTGTGGTCTTAATCAAATGATGTTGCGATTCTTAATTTGTTCTATGTCTTAATTAGTTGTGTATATTGAAAATTAGTACTATAGTGTTTCTGGCGTCGGTGATTCTTTGCCTCATTCGTCATCTTTGAAGCTCTTTGCTGGGTTCAGGGGCAAGAATTGTTAAGCTAAATTTTAAAGAAAAATATCATATCTTTAAAGAGCTTTATATATATATATATATATATTCTCCACGCGGAAGATCTGCCTTTCCTCGTGTTTTAGCTCGCGGGTAGGTTGCTGGCATTCACTGTCTTTTGCAGGTGAAATAATTTAAATTTGTCTTTTATGGGCAGAGATGAGATTCGAAATTGTGATCAAACGATCACTAAACCTTGGGAGTAAGCGGAAAGTTAGTCCACCAAAGTGAGTACGTTTGTTTTTAAAATTAAAAACAGTTTTCTATTTTTAAAAATAAAATATAATATAAATTTTTAAAATTTATATTATATTTTATTTTTAAAAATAGAAATTTTTTTCAAAAAGAAATAAATATACTCTTTGTATTTTGTTTTAGAATTTTTTTACTTTTATTATTTTTAATTATAAAATTGTTACTTTTTTATTTTTAAATATTTCTATATAAATATTAAGAGCAAAAAAAATAGTATTTTGTATGTATAATTTTTAAAATAAAAAACAATAAGAATATAAAGTAACAGTATTGCAATTAAAAATAAAAATTGAAAACATCTTATAATCTAAGCAGTCTTTAATACTATATTTTAGCTCTCTTTGTAAAAAATCATTTGTTTTAATCTTTGTTTATTTTATTTTTTAAAATTAAAATATATATCATTATATAAAATAAAAATTCAATAATTTTTTTAAAATTTTAAATAGTAAAATACTCAACCCATACACTCTCAAGGAATTATCTGCGCCTTTCGCCGACTAAAAGAAGGTACTTGTGTACGTGTGTATTGGTCATTTACATTGGACTCGAGCTAATATTTCAAATACCCTAACCATTTTATTTAAAATATGTAGGGTATTTAAGATTGAAAGCGTTTCTTCTCAAGAAACACTTTCAATGTCTAATTAGGTTATTTATTATGGAGATATCCTAATATCAAAGCAGATCAAGCAATAGTATCATTCTTTATAAATTATCTAAATGTTGAAGTTATCATGTCGCTAGCTTTTGCATAATCATGGTAGTAAAAGAAATATTTTTTTTCCAGATATTACATCAAACACACTTTTTGTAATAAAATCTCTTACCTTCACAAACCTCTACATCATTATGTTAAAAAAATCACATTTTTATGCGACATATTATTAAACAATTTTGATACCTCCACAACATTCCTAACAGTGATATTAATAACCGTAGCAATCTAAGAAAACCACGTTCCTTTGTGACATTTGATAAAGAAATCTGAATAGAGATTTACAAATTGATTTTCTTTCTAAGACCTTACACATGTTTAAACAAGATTTAATTACAAAAAGATAAAGTGTATCAGTAGACTACACTTTCATGTGAACAAAAGCTAAAAGGTTATTATAAAATAAACTCTTTTAGAAATGGGCTTGGATGAAATTGAAGGTTCAAAAATATGGTGAAGGACAATCTGAATATGAGAGGGAGGAAAAGGAGTAAAAAATGGAAGAACATAGACAGTGACTGGGGATAGTAGTTTTTAGTGAAAGAGCACAAAGAGGAATAATGATAGATAAATAAAAAATTTTAGAAATTAATAATTAAAATATTTAACGTATAATAATTTCAGAAACTAAAATAAAATAAAAATATAAAATATACTATAAAAATGTCGTTTTTACTACAAAATTAATTATATATATATATATATATATATATTATCTTAGGTGACTTGTTAATATTTTATTACTATTTATTAACTGTGTTTAAATATATAAATTAAAATATTTATGAGAATAAAAATAAAGATTTAGTTAAAAAAAAAAATTATGAGTCTGCCTCTATATATAAGTTTTATTTTTTATTGAATAAAATGAATAAATCATTACCAAAAAATTTGACAAGAATTATTCTGGTACAGAATTTTAACATGGCAAAAACGAGGAGGGTAGTCCGTAATCGCAATTAAGTGTAAAACTCCATATTGTACGGAAGGCATAATTGCATTCACCGAATCACCGCTACCTTATTAGATACGGCAAGATCATAATGATCAACGTTTGAAGACTATTAGTTAAAGAATTAGTCATAATTTTATTAAAAATATATTGGTATATATTTGAAATATGATAAAAAAAATTAATAAGTTTTCAACAGTAAAAACGAGTTTAATTTTGCATTATCATTATATAATTTTTACAGCATCAATTAATTAAAATACACCATAAATATAATTTTTGTATTAATTATTACATAAATTCATTATTCTTATTAATACAAAAATTTATCATTGAATGATAATATATACATATATATAAATCTATTAGTGTATTTAAATTAAAAATTTTAAAAAATTATATTTTTTTAATAAATTTAATTTCAATACATTGTGAATATAAAAATATTTACATTATCAATCAATTAAAAATCGTCATAAATATACTATTTAAAGTGATTATTATAAAACTTAATGATTTTTAATGATATTATAATAATAAGATAATAGTGTAAAAAATATATTATTATTATATTTTAATTAAATTATTTCTTAATTAATATCTTGTACACTAAGTCAATATATGCTATTAAATTTACATGAAATAAAAAATTAATTTTAATTTTATGCAATAATGTTTTTTCCAAAGCAAAAAGTAGACGTTATTATATTTTAAGCTTTTAAAAACTATTGAGATAAAATAACTTTTTTAATAAATTCTATTTTGCACAGACGATCAAGAATCAAACGATACACTAATTATATCAAATTTGGTTGATAATCGAAAATGATCTAAACAAAGATTATTAAATAATTTTATTATTGAAAAATTTAATATTAATTAAAATGTATCGAAAATGTACACATTTTTAATACTTATTCAATCTCAAATTATATATTATTAAAAATTACTAACTTTAATAATTATTATTTTAAAAGTCATATTTAAAATAACATTTATTTGGTTGATAATATAAAAAATTTTATATCAGTAATTTGTCAAAGTCATAAATTTAATACTGATTTTAATTTTAAAATTACAAAAAATAAAAAAAAGTTAATCGTCAATTTTTTAAAAGTGTAATATAGGTTATATTAAATTTTGTTTTCTTAAATAAAATAAAAACCTCATGACCAAGTGACTTGGACCAAGTCCAAACGCACTATGTACACAAAAAAGAAAATTAAATCCAAATAGCCTCAGACCACATGACCCATTCTCACACAGATTACTTTCCTTCCTCGAATATATATATATATATATATATATATATATATATATATATATATTTATTTATTTATTTATTAAACATTTGACTTTTTACGATGTGAAAAACTAAAAAATATTTATTTTCCATTAAATTAAGCTAATGTCTTTTTTTAATGAGAATGAGTTTTCTACCCACTGAATACACATCACGCTTTGAGTTTTCATTAACAACATGTTTGACTTTTTACACCCTGGGGTAAAAAGAAAGTAATTTGCTTGATGAAAAATTCTATCAATAAATTAAATTATAGTCTTTTATATATAAATTTTTTTGTTAATATAAAAGCTCAGAATAAACAGGTAATAATAGTAAAATTTTATTAAAAAGAGAAATATTTATTATATTTTTATAACTTTAATATAATATCTGTATATATTTTTAATTAAAATTTTCTATCTTTAATATAACAAAATCCTATATATAAATCAATTATAAATAAAACACAAGTTCTCTCAAGAATCTAAAACTTTTACTTCTTGAGAGAGAAGGTTTGGCTTCTTACAAATTTATCTAGGATTAAAGGTTAAACTTTTAATCAATCAAGTAATTTTATAGACAGAAAAAATTTCTACATAAAAACCAAATATTTGCAAATTTTAGCAACCAATATACGAAATTTAGTCACAGCAATAGTTTTTAAAAGATGAATAAGTCCATCTAAGTAGTTTGATGATAAAAATTACTTTAAAATGAATGAACAAATACTTGCAACCACAATGCATAATTCTTATTTTGATAATAAAAAGAAAAAAAAAAAAAAAGATACATGTAAATGTTCATCGAAGAAAAGACTAAAGTAAAGACTCTTGTTAATCAATGTTAAACTGAGAACATGAAAGTAGACAATAAAAATATAGAAAATTATTTTAAATATTTTTCAGAAAAGACTATAAAAATAAAATAATCTTTTATATAGTATAAAACTTTTATTATATGTGTTAAAAGAAAATCAAAATATACATTAATATATTGAAAATCATATAAATAAATCGTTTCTGATATTATTTTATTATAAATAGATATTTTACTGAATTAAAACTTTAAATAAATGAATATTTTCAGAAAAGACTACAAAAATAAAATAATATTTTATATAATATAAAATTTTTATTATATGCTAAATGGAGAAAATAAAGTTATATATTAATATAACATTGAAAATCATAAAAATAATCCATTTTGATATAATTTTATTATTAATATATATTTTACTTAGATAAAAACTTTCAATATATGAATAGAAGATACTGAAGTAAAAAATAACACTTTCTTTTAATTTATGTATGAGACTGAAATTACAAAAGAAATTCATTAGATTTCATTGTTTTTTTACTGGACAACAATATAACTTAGAGAGAACACATTAATTTGTTATGGTAAGTAAACCAGTTTATTTTATTAATCAGTTTTTTTTATAAATTAAGTGATTACTATAATATGAATGAAAACATATGGCATGGTCAATTAATCTTATAAATTAAATATTTTAACTTTTTTTATTCCTTCAAAAAACTATACTTAATACTAATTTAGTTTTCTAAATATTCATCATATTAAATACTCTAAGCATTAAAAGATAAAAGAAATATTTTAATTTATAATTTCATACAATGACTTATTTAATATCCTTTAAGAGACTTATTTTATATCATTATTTTTCAAATTGATATTCAATGAATTTTTCAAATACTATGTTTAAATTTTTAAAAGTAATTGTTAATAATTTATTTAATATTATTATTAATATATTTTTTCTATTTACTATTAATATATTTTAAATAATTAATAATATAAATTTAAAATATTACTTAGTTAATAAATCT